TGCTTCATATGTTAAAATCTGAAGCTATTACAGTTTTTTGAGGATGATTGCTCCTTTTATGGTCTTTCTTTCTGCCAAAATTGTAAAATAACGTATCTTTGGTCTAAAGAGAAACTTTTATGGCTGATATTTCAGGCACTTGATGGTTTATATTTCCTATTTACTGCCTTCCAAGAGCTGGGAATGAGGAGGCCATGATTGGGACTGTTCCAGAAGTACTTGGACATTGTCACCTACTGCCTGAAATCCTCCCAGCCTCAGCTTTAATGCACGATTTGGGAATCAGTGCAGACTGATTCAGTGGGGAGCAGATGGCAGTTTTTGTTGATTGCAAGAAAGTAACACTTGTCTGACCTGGCACTAGGTTCAGCAGGAATTTGGAATTACCACCAGCTTGGACATCGCAGCCTTTTCCTCAGGATTTGCACTTTGGCTTGTGCTGTCTGGAGCCTCGAGCCCAGTGGCAAGCTGAGTCTGGTATTAGAAACAGTTACTGGCTGAGTAACGCTAAATAAGAAGGGAAGGGGGAAAGTCTTTAAATACGTGGCTCCAGATAGGAGGTGATGTGCTTTGCTTTACTACCTGCAAAAGGTACAGCTGGAAAACAGGAAGGACTGTGTTGTTGGTGAGGCTGAGCAACAGCAGTTCCCTTTCCACCATCATGAGCTGACCTGCCTGCTCGAAAAGAAGCTGTCTGGTGGGTATGGATCCAGCTGTTCCTAGTATGAGAGCCTCTCCTGCCTAACCCCAGTTCTAAATGTGGGTGAGCCTTCTGTAGGAAGAAGTGGGTCTCCTTGTCTCTGGGGAGTCGTTGCTTCCCGTTGACATGTGCAGTCAAAAAGACTTCTTTCCAGGGAGAGCTTTGGTATGGTGTGGCTGGAAACAGACACTGCTGTCCTCACTGGGAAAGCCAAACCTATCCAAGAGAGATGGACAAAAGTCGAGGAGAGAACACAGCTCAGGTGCTACTGTCACAGCTCTGTACGCAGGAGGCATTACCAGGCACTGTTCCTACTGAAGGAATGCTGATGCTGATTAATACCACAGAAAGACTAGGGAAAACTCTAGAAGACTTTCCAAAAGCATAACAGGAACACTTATTTAGCAGTTTACCTTTCTAATTTTTTAATGGATGCTCTCTTCTGTGCATCTTTAAAAGCTTTTAAAAGCTTTTTAGTAGTAATTCGATGCCATGGCAAAAAGCCTGCTAAGGTCTGTGAAGTTAAACCTCAAATCTCTTTAATGATTTCATACATTATTCTACAGAATCATGTTATGCTTTCTCAGGCCACTTATTTCATTAACTAATATAACAGAGGCACAGACACATGTTTCTGTTTTGCCTGTGTCCTAGCTCATTTGTGAGCCGCGCTGAGTGAAGATGTGGGAACCTCGCTTCCCTGTGCAGGGCAGGGCTGGAGCTGCTGTGCAGGATGCTCTTCTGCTCAGATTGGAGTATTCGGAGTTTGAGGAGATGGAAGACAGATGTGGATATATCCGCTGAAGAGACAATTAGGGAAACTTTGCCCTTAGTTTGTAACTGTAAGTTAGGAACCATGATTTCCATAGCTTTCTTAGCTGCAGAATGCGATGTGAAGGGGAGACAAGTAGAATCAGAGTTTCAGGAAGAATTTTCTTAGTCATTTTTCTTATGTGCACACAAGAAGATACTCATTTTGAGGTGACTGCTGCTACTCTTTGCATTCTGATAGGAGCTTGAGTCATGCTTGAAATGTGTTTTGCTGTGGGTGTTCCTTTACCGTTGTTTGTTCCCCTGTTTGCCTCGGCTGTAGGGCAGGCTATAGAACTTGGTCTCTTTGATTATTTGAAATGTTATATTCTTGCTCATACTTTGTCTCTAAAAATTTGTAACTCTGATTTTCATTCCTGATTGGCAAGTGCTTTCCATAACCTTATGACTCAGGCTTATCATAAGTGTTAGAAATGGTTTTTGCCGAAAATCTGTAATGCTGGAAGTGATTTCACTCCTGTGCTGAATATTAAATGTTGTTGGACAAGGACTGATGAAACTCCTCCTACTTCACCTCTCTTTAGAAAGGCTCATTCCTCATTTATCTGAAAGCATGCCCTCCAATTGCTTTAATACTTTGTGGTCTGAAATGGCTTGAGAAAAATTCCGGACTAGATTCCAGTAGAATTATCTTAATAGAGCCAATTACTGAATAAAAGCAGTAACAAAGGAGAAATTATGTCAGAGATGTTAGGTCGATGTTCTGTTTACTGTCAGTTCTTTGAGAAATAAGAGCTTAATGCAAGATTGATTTCATTATGCCCACCGAGCTTTTTGGAAAAACACAAGTAGTTAAAAGCATTTGGGAAATAAAATTATACCGTATTTAAAAGTGCCAGTTATGTTCTCAAAGCCCCGTGTAAAAGATTGAATTTTCCAGTTTAAATAAGTCTGTCCAGTTTTTAGATTGGTGCCTGACCAATATTACAATTCTTCAATCTGAGAGTTAATAACCATTCATAATGCTTGGAGGAATTGGAAACAGAGACCAGTCCCTTTTAATTGTTTCCTTCCGTTGTATTTAATGCAGCTCCTCTGGATTCATTAAGATTCTTGGATGATGGATTTGTTTTCTGCTTGTTATCTTAATAATAATTGCTGGACCCTACAGGATGATGTAGGAAACCAGGGGATTCCAAGTTCTTGAGTACCATCCAAATGTGTTGGTGAACTTTTTTAATGGCCTCATTTTTCCAATGTTTATATTCCAAATATAACGTTCCATAGATGTTATTAATATTTGAAGTGATATTTCAATTTTACACAGCTATCATCTCTGAGGAAATTTCTCCTCTTTTAGTTCCTTTTACCATTTTCAGCACAACTTGGTCCTGTTTTCCTTGCTGCCCTTTATGGGTGAGGGAGTAAACTTAATTTTTTTTTTTTTTCTTTTTATAGATGTGTTCTGGTTGGAGCTGAGCACACCTCCTTGCCTCCTTGTTGTTTTTAGAATTTTTTAAAATCATGTGTTCTGTCTTCAGCCCAGTTCTGTGGGTCTTCAGTGACATGCATCTTGAGTGATGCTGGTGTTCCAGCTCTAACATTTTCATTTAAACACTGCGGTGCCCGCTCTGAAATGAGTGGAGCAGCCTGGAAGCAGTTCTCCCTGTAGCCAGGCACAAAGCTTCAGTTTCCTACAGAATCTTCATTGCAGTTCTCCTTTCTGTTCTGCATAAAGTACAGCATCAGTTGATGGGCTATGGCTAGTATTTATCAGTTGTTCAGCCCATCAGTCTTAAAAACCCACCAAAAATAATTAAAACAAAAGCACAAAAGTCACAACAACAGCAAAACAACAACAAATAAGCACAAATTGTAAGCAAGGTTTCGCAGGCTGTGGTTTATACCACATTTATGTGTTCTGTCATTATTAGCAGGTATTGTTGAAAGGATGTCCACCATTAAGCCAACTGATGTGTTGGAGGCTGTTAATCAGACTCAGCAGTATTTCAGCATCCCTCCTCGCTGATATTTTCCCTTAGTCTCCTCCTGCATCTTGCATTTATTTGCCTAATTCAAGTAACATCGAAAAAAGTTTTAAACACACATTAATTTAAATCCAATTTCCTGTCCCTCAAGGAGAAAGGAGGGAGAGCTATTTTCTTTCTTTTTTCTTTTTCTTTTTTATTTTTTCCCACCCTTGCGGCTCGAGGAAGCACTGAGGACCACGTTCCCACAGCCTGGGGGTCTCCAACAATGACATTTCCTCTGTGGGCAGGCAGCCGGCCGGGCTCAGACCGCTGCCCTGGCATTGTGAGTCCCAGCACGTACTCTTACATCACTGCAGCCCCAACCTGCATCGTGCAGACTTTGTGTGAGAAGGGTGAAAGTTGAGCGGGAAATGGAGATTTCCCTCATGTTCTTCTAGAAATTGCTTTTAGTTTTGTTGAGGTTATTTTCCCTCTGTTGGAGATGGGATTGCGGTCGTCTTCCATTTGTATCCAAGTCATCATTTTGACAAGAAATTCAGCTGCCTTAGTTGTGAGTGTTCTGCAGCTTAACATTGGTTCCACATTCATTTTTCCACTAGATGAATGAAAAGTTTCAGAGCTTGTCAGAGATAAGTGATGTCTGTACTTTCTTGTCAGGTCAACGAGTGACTCGGTGTTTAAAGTTTAAACTGCTGCCCACTGAGCTGCTCTGCCACTGCTGGGCTGCCAACAGTCAAGTAAGCAGTGACCTGAAGGGCCAGCAAGGCATCTTGCTCCTGATTTGTACAGACAGGGCTGAATTTTTTTACAGTAACCTTGCATGTGTTCTTAGAAGTGGCATTTAGCAGTGTCACTGAGTGTCACCAAAGAATCAGGAGTGCAAGGCTGCATTTTTCAATTTCAGTTTCAGTCACAAATATTTGATTCCTTGCCACGGTTCCTGTTAAATCTGTTGAAGCATTTTTATTTACAGTGACAATTTAATTTCTCTTCGTGTTGTTGTTCATGTAGGTTTTCATGTAGAAATGTTTTATTTAGCAGATGAAACTTTGTTCCTTATCAATATTAACTAGAAATTTTGCTTCAGTGCTGAAGCATAGAAGTAAAGTCTTGTATTAACAGAGGTAAAACCACGTGGTGTACTTCAGGGATTTTAGAAAGAGCCCTGACATATGTCCATAACTTGTTTGCTTTTATATTTTGCTCTGTACAGTTGTAAGAAATTTATACTCTTAATACCCTTTCTAGCCTATCGTTTTATGCTTTTTAACTGTATTTGCACTATAGAAAATTAAGTATTAGCTACTTTCTCTTTAACCTGTGTAAGGTTACCTGACATTCTTATCATGGCTTGTTTTTTGCTTTTTCTTTTTTAATTTACCATAGAAGGTGTTTTGGTTCCTTACCACAGAACTCCAGTGTCAGGCTGTTCAAAGTTGTTTTTTTGTGTTTTTTTTTTTTTTTTTAAGGTGTTTGTGGAACTAATACTTGTTAAAATATGATTTTAATATTGTTTGCATTTTTTTTTTTCTTTTAAGAATATTGACATAACAAACTTCAGCAGCAGCTGGAATGATGGCTTGGCTTTCTGTGCAGTCCTCCATACTTACCTCCCAGCCCATATTCCTTATCAAGAGCTGAACAGCCAGGACAAGGTATGACATTAGAATTCCCATTCTGTTATATATGTTCATGTCCATAAAGAATCTATATGGCTAATATGAGCTAAAAAAAGAAGAATGAACTAATTAAAGTAATAGAAAAATGATCTTACTAGAAATCATAATTGAAACAATTCAGACTACATTATAGCTATTCTTTTTAAAACCTTAATGTTGTAAGATCTTTTGGGTGATAATAGGATATGTTCATTAAAATTAATTAATATGGTCCAATTACAGACTCACTTTGAGGCAAAATTAGCAGTTTTACTGTAAACTTTTTTAATGCCATCTTATTATGAAGTAGTATTTACTTGGATTCTGATACGTTTTCATATCTCGTGCAGAGGAGAAACTTCACTTTGGCTTTTCAGGCAGCTGAAAGCGTTGGCATCAAATCCACTCTGGTGAGTTTTAAACACATACTGAACAAATTACATCTCATTTTAAAAAATAAATTATTCCAGTTTGTGCTTTTGAAAGATTTTGAAGCAAAAATAACAGCAGATGAGCTCAGCTAGAGCCTATAGTCTCAGTATCACACTTGACTGAAAAAAAATACATAAATGGTAAGCACATACATCAGTGGTTTTGTTTAATCTCTGTCAGTCTAGCATAAATCCAATATTGTCAGCCACTTCAGCTAATACTGTTTTTTGCAGTAAAATAATGAGTGGGATAAAGACCTGTACTCAAGCTGCTGCAGCAAAGGCAACAGCAGAACAGCCTATGGCAGGTTGGGAATGGCCTGAAGCTGCATTGGGGGAAGATCAGGTTAGATAATAGGAAAAGATTCTTCTCCAAAGAATGATCATAGAATTATTAAGGTTGGAAAAGACTAATATCGTGTAGTCCAACTGTCAGCCTATCACTGCTGTTCCCACTAAACCATATCCAGAAGTGCCACATCTATGTTTCGTGAGCACTTTCATGGGTGGTGACTTCAGCACTTCCCTGGGCAGCCTGTTCCAATACTTTGCCACTCTTTCAGGGAATAAATTCTTCCTAATATCCAACCCGAACCTCCACTTGTGCAACTTTTGGTCATTACCTCTGGTCATATCCCTTTACATGGGAGAACAGACCGACCCTTTCCTTGTTACAACCTCCTTTCAGATAGTTAAGAGCAATAAGGTCTTCCCTAAGCCTCCTCTTCTCCAGATGGAACCATCCAAGTTCTCTCAGCTCCTCGCCATAAGACTTGTTCTGCAGAACCTTTACAGCTTTGTTGCCCTTCTCTGGACATGCTCTGTCACCTCAGTGAGGAGCCCAAAACTGAGCACAGTGCTTGAGGTGCCAAGTGCAGGGGTTCCAAGCCTGATGACAGAGTTCAAGAAGGGTTCATTTGGGTAATGTTCTTAGACATGGGCTTTAATTTATAGGCACTCCTGTGCAGAGCCAGTAATCTTTGTGGGTCCCTTCCATCTCGGGATACTCAATGGTTTTATGAGATAAACTCCTAAAAGGAAGATTCACCAAAACTCATTTTTCAGTATTTTAAGAAACAATAAAGTCAGTGTTGGGGTTTTTTGGTTTTTTTTTTTTTTTTTTTGAGAATAATTTGAGAAATAGTTGTGATACTATCTTCAAGGATCCATTAACTCTCTTCTGTCTCTGTTCTACTTTCTAATGATTTGGTTTTGTTGGAATTTCAGGAATACACATCAAGCTATGTAAGTTGTTCTTTTGCTCACTGAAATGTAGAAGTTAAGACTTTTATGTTTAGATTTAATTTGTCAGCATTGTAAATGATTGAAGGTGAGCTTTTTTTTTTTGTTCCCAATTACTGGTTATTCTGTGTCTTATAAAAATTTTGCCTTAAAGGAATTAACTTTCAACATGATAGGATTTACAGTGAAAGTAAGACTCCTGAAGGTAGGGAATTGAGAGTATCCCAGGCCTTTGTGATTAATTGCAGAAATTCAACTAAAGTTGCCAGTATCAGAAACGATATTCAAGTGATGCTTGAGCAATCTAAATTCTAACAAAGCTGCCATAGTTAGCAACTAATAACACAGTGAAGTCAGGTGTTTTAAAAATAACACTTTCCTTGATCCCTATCAGAGCCTTTACACCAGCATTGTGTTTGCTCACAATGGCAGTGCAACTCCTGGACATTAAGTTTTGTCAGGGATTTGAAACCTGGAAGTTTCTTCCCAAGTGCTGATATAAGAACTACAGTGTGGGAAAATAGCTGCAGGAATTCTGTCCTGCTTTAGCTTTAGTCTCAGTGATTGCTGTTTGTCCTTTGATTTTTGCCATGTACTTAATTACAGACTTCCTGAAAAGACAAATTGAAAGGAATTAAATATTCAGTGTGCAAATTGTATCCATCTTAAGGGTTTAGTATCTTTTTACATACCAACAGTACACAGTGTGTAGTGTTTCTTTTTTTTTCCTCTTCCATGGGTGAAGAATGAGCAAGGATGTGAAAACCACTGTAACTAAATAGCAGTGGTGATGTAAGGAGAGGTTTATAAGGGTGACTTCTTTGTTCCCAGAAGAAGAAAGTGTTCAGCTGCTTTCATACAGAGAATCAAAACCAACCAACCAAAGTAAATCAACAACAAAACAGAAACAACTTCCTCTTTTTGAGTTTGGAGATCCTAGTAATCAAAGATTATAAAACAGATCCATATACTAGGCAGAAATGTCTAGGAACTGTCTCACTCTGTTCTTGTGTACATATGCTGAAAAGGGCAGATCAGGCTGTTTGCTCAGCTTATCCATAGACAATCTGGCACACTTGTTAAGAAATGAGTGAACTGACCTACCAGTTAGGCACACACTGATGCTTTGTCTCCTGCATATAGCCAAGCTGATGGCAAAGCAAACTTCCCTCTTTCTTGCCTCTTCACTCAAAAATACATATTGAAGTAATCCCAAGTTCACTACTCTACTGTGAAATGGGATTGTCATTTATTGACTCCTATCATGATGAGAATTTTGAACTTCAGGTTCAGTCAGTGTCTTGGTCTTGATTCTGACTCTTTGTCTTAGCTCCTGGGCAGATTGCATTGACTTGTGAGACTGGTGTAAGGGGCTGGGGAACAGTAACATCTTCAGTACTAATTGTTCTGAAAGGGGGACAACTTAGGTATGCACTATTTCAATCTTAAATCAGCAAAACAGCATTCTGCATATATCCTATTTATGGCTGTTTACATTTACTATTTATAGCTGTTTACAGCTGTTTATTTCCAAGTAATATCGAGTTGCATGGAGGAGAACAAAGCTTTCTTCATCAATGCTTTAAATTATGGAAACTTTACAGGCTTACCATCACCATGACTTGGTAAAAATACTGCCACGTCCCTCACAGGGTTATGGTTCTTCTTTTTGACCAATCTGTTTTCTGTGACAGGACATCAATGAAATGGTGCGAACTGAACGTCCGGACTGGCAGAATGTCATGCTGTATGTTACAGCAATTTACAAATACTTTGAAACCTGAAACCCTAATAATTCAACAGATTCATGAAGTAGAACCGACATTAGCTACCAGATGGAAATCTTGCTGAAATGCTAATCCCCATTTCACTAAAAACTGGCATCAGTTGAGTCCCTTCAAACTTCGGTGACGCTATCCTGGATTGCTTCAGACTGCTTCAGCTACTAAGCCTGGAAACAACTGTTAAAAAGCAAAAACTTGTTGCCGCTGCTTGGAATAACCCAAGTAATTAAGCTATTCAGATTAATTATGTAGCCTAAAGAGCCTGGACTGCTTATCTACCGCCTTGCCAGCCAGACTTCCTGAAGCTTTCTTACCTAAGAGAGTGAGATGAATGGATCCTCTAGCATATGGGAGACTGAGTGTACAGCTAATGCTTTGAGAAGGAAAGGATAACATGGCATCATATTACTGAACTTTCTGTAGTGTCCTGATACCACAGTCTAAATATTCCACCTACAGCCTATGGCACCCCAATACAGTAGAGTTCCTGATGGTAATTTAGTTACTGCCTTTATAGCTATTTTCACCCCTTTAAAATGTGCACAATATTCTAGGAAAACAAGCTTTTATTTCATCACAACAGCTTGAGTGGAAAAGTGGTCTTGATACCTCGGAAAATTTGGCACAGAAGAACTCTTTCTTCTAAAGTTTCGTTATAAGCCTACCTCTGTCACAGTGTTGTGGCTTCCAACTTTATCTTATGGATTCTAAAGACTACCATATACAGCTCCTGGTTTTCAGGTTATGCTGTATTGAAAGGAATCTGTCAGTAGCTCTCTGTGCTTCCATTATAGCAAAAATGAATCAATAATCAACCCTTGTATGGCTTGTTCTTTCCCCTTTTCTTCCTATGCCTGTATAGCATGCACAGCTACCCCAGGCTTTACTTCACAGCAATACGAGGAAACGTCGTGGATGTCTGTGGTAGCATTTTGGAACTGGGACAGCATTTCCTCTGCAGAGAAGATACTTTCAGTAAGATGTAATAATGAAGATATTTGTCTAAAAATCTACCTTTGCAATTTCCTGTGTGTCTTTCATTGATGTTGCACATCCTCATCTGAGTGATAGAAGGTGAGATGTTCTCTGACAAGAGTGGAGGAACTAATGTAATGTGTGTATACCCAGCAGTCTCAAATATTGCATGGAAAAGACTTGCTCTCACAAGGAATTAACCGAGAAACTTTGGTTTGCTCAGCTTTTGTTTTCCTAAAATGCACCTGAATTCATGTAACAGCTCTTGGGCAAAAGAGTTCAAGCAAGTGCCTTAGCTATCATTGATTGATACATCCTGGCACTTCAGGGCTTTGTGCAGAATGTTAATGGCTCAGAATGATTTAATCCATCCGTTTGTTATAAGCTGTTAAAATGTTTGTTGTAATCTGGTTCGTCAAATCAAGGGAATGCTTCACTCTGCCATTGCTTCTGCCTCTTCTTTTCCAGAATATTTTCCAGCAGTTAAGCCACAGTTGAACATCTCTCATTAATATTAAGCAGAAGCCTACTTTAGAAGCGAGTTCTGTAACAACTGCTATTTATAAGCACATGCTCTTTCAACACAGTAACCCTGTTATAAAGAATCTTCTATTCCTATGGTGCTCTTACGACTGTTAAGGACTGTTTGAATGTCATTGATGTTAACTCAGTGAATGCAGCTCCACTTGGCATCTGTGAAACTTCATCGTGGTACAGAAGCACAGATTTAACTCAGACTTATTGCCAAACCTAAAAAGCTCTCATCTGAAGAACATAGCCCATGTGAAGAGTAATAATTCAGTATGTCTCCAGCAGCTAGCATTATAGAAAATTACTTCTTAAAATGCTTACACTGACACGTCTGTAATAGAATACATTATAAATGTGCCTGTAAGAATATATGAAATGTTGCAAAACAACTTCTTAGAGGGGCTCTGGAGAAGTTTTCGGAGCAACAGTGTCTCATGCATCCTTATGATTCTTTAGCCTGCATATCCCTAAAAGTAGCTGGATACCCTCAATTTATCAGTTGGTGCATTTGAAAAGCCAGCATACTCTAAAGGCAGTTGTTGCAAGAGAGGCTTCAAATGGAAAAAAAAAAAAATCATTAACAGATTTTAATAAAATTCTGAAATATAGTTTCCTTTCCTGTATATTCCTTCCAGTATTTTTATTTACTTTGCTTCTTCAAATAAGTCTCAACAGGAGCAGTCCTATTGGAAATACATGGTACTGCTGGCTTATGTTCCATCTCTTACTAGATTCCAACTTATGCACATTCGTGCTTATAAATCTGTACTCTTCCTTTGAATAGACATCCTTATCTGTGATTGTCTTATTTGTTGCTTTGTATATAAAGAAAGTATTTTTCCAATGACAAGGACAGCGTTTCTTGGTCTAAATTCACTCATGAGCTGTTGTGTTTTTTACATTGATTTGTTCTGTGTGATGGCCCACCTCCTTTACCAGGAACACTGTGCCAGCCCTTAACTAAATAACGCATGGTAGTAAGAGGAGGAAACCACATTTTTCTCATACCTTCTTTTGAAAAGTTGTGCTGCTGGTCTTCAGAGAGAGAAGTTATGAGCCACTACAGAAAGGACCTTATTTTGAACTTCAGTGCTCTGTAAGCTTCATGGTGTGGTCTGGCTGATAAAAGCCTATCTAGAAAGGAATATTGGGCTCCATAAAGAGATTTTTTTATAATCATACATCTGAGCCTTTACAAATAAGATGCCATACAGCTGTCCAAGTGAAAGCAATGAAGGAAAGCAATGAAGCAATGACAGATAAAAAACAAACATAATGCCCTGCTGCACTCTGCCACATGTTTTCTGCAAAGGTTCAAACAGCATTTAATTTTTCAAGTGAAAGAATAGCTGTAGCCCTTCTGGACGCGGATGATACTGTCCTACTTGGTTCCTGCTCGCACTTAATCCTGAAACTGCCTGTTATTTCTTACATATGGAGCGAGGTTTCTGCTGATTTAATTTCCTCTTTTTTTAACCAGCCCGGAAAATATTATTGAATGTGTTTCAAAAAAAAAAAAAAAAAAAAAAAGAAAGAAAAAAGACAAATATTTTATCCGTTTCTATTACTACAATTTAATATGTGCCTTGCAAATGCCTGTGCTGTAGTATATCAGGGCTAGTTATTGCCAGCTGTGGGCAGAAGGGATCTGTCAAAAATACTGGTGCAGATATGGCTATATGACCTAATGGATCCTGTTTCCTGAAATGATTCCATAGACCACAGAGATGTCAGTTTAGAGTCAGATGTGTCTTAGGGTTGCCTGGTTGTCATCATGATAATCGTAAGCTTTGAACTGTGGCATTTTCTTTACCAAAAAGAAAGGATGAGAAGATAAATTTTGGTCATTAAGGAGAATTCTGTCCGTTTTGACCCAGTATCTGACAGTAACAGAATTAAGGTGACTTCAGAATGAATTACACTTGTCTTGATTTTCAGTTGGTTTGGTTTGATTCATTTTGCTGTCTTGTATACTTTATGTGGAAACACCAATTCTGTAGCCCTGGTGTTGTGAATGGATCTCTGTGACCCTCAGAGAGATCTCTCGTCCTCATGCTTCTGAAAAGTTGTGCACAAAAGGCTCCCTTTTAAAATTGTGTTGGTGGATAGGCTATCTACAAGGTAGCATTTATTTATAGTGTATCAAGATTTAAAAATAATTATTTTTCTCTTGCATAAAATGTGTTCCTCAAGTTTCTCATAATTTGGCTAATTTTGTAAAGTATTTCCACTGTTCTTGTGTTTTGGGGAAGTCCATTCTCGTGCTTTTTGTTTGCAAGGGCAAAGTGAACTCAGCTTTGATGTATGGATGTAATCTGCTATAAATGCTGCTGGCTGCATTCAGCCTCTGGTTTTACCTGCATAAGTAGAAATGCATTTGCTCTGACGATGCGCACAACACAGTGGTTTAAACTGCTGATAATCTGCCTTAAATTTGTAGCTGTGACAAAAAATTCTCCTTGGTGTCTCCCCTCTGTTAATGATCTCAGTGTTAAATTCTCTGTTTTTTTTCATTTCCCTCATTCAGCGCTTCAGAAAGTTGAAAACTGACCATTTGGGCTCTGTTGCATCTTTTCCATGACCAACAAAATGACTTTTATTCAATTCTAGCAGTTTCTGTACAGTTTCGACCTGGGTACAGATTTTCTTATAGCCTAGATTCAAACAAGCTTAATTGGGAAGTATGAGGTATGGAGAACTTCTTACTTTGTTCTGCTTGTGACCAGCTTGGGAATGCTGATATGTGGCAGTCTCTTCAGAAGCTGCCTTTCCTGGATGGCTGGCAAGAAGTTATGCACAGGCTAAAGTTGAGCCTTTAAAATTGTGTTTATATGACTCGTGTGGTGACTTTACCTCTTATTTGCCTATTACAACCACTGCAGGAATAGCTGAGCTGCAGGCTGCCTTGAGCAGGAGCAATTAGAGGGCAGAATCCTTTTGGGAAGGAAGCCAGTTGTACACCTTGACACCATTTTTTGCCTATTGTAAGAAATACTCCTGCTGAAGTGGCCAACTGAATAGGATTTTGAAATAATAGCATTAGTGTACAGCCTGATTCAACTGTATAGTTTATTTGTGGTCCTTCCCTTGACTCGGTGAATATTTTTCTCTGTTATTCTTATGTTCTGCCAAGCTCTGCTTCTGCAGTTCCTTTCTTAAGTTAGCATTAGTGCATGAATAGTCAATGATATTAGCCCATCCAATAAACGATTTGGTGGGACATGCTCTTAAAACAAGGTAGTCATTCACAAGTTCTGGACATGCCATTGTGCTTTCCCAGGTTAGTGTGTGTTAAATGGAAAAATACCTTAGAACTGCTTAACTCTTCCTTGACTTCCTTTTCAACCATATAATCTCCATCACCCTACAGTGCCCATCAGGTCGTAGAGATCTTTTAATGCATTTAACTGTCTCTATTTAGAAAGGTATCTCTAGGAGTGTTTCTGCCCTCGAAGAAGTGTGACTGGATGGGCTTTGAGTGACTCACTGGCTTGCTGAGCCTTTATTTGTGCAAGGTTTTCCTGTGTAATCAGCATAATTTTGCTTGGCAATTGTCAAAGCCATTATGTTAAGTATCTGGGATGTACTGCAAGTATGCTTTTGATAATTAATACTAAATAACTCTTAAGATGGAGTTCTGGAGTTCTGATTTTTGTCAGCATTGCTAAGAATTTCTGTTTTTCCTTATGTATCTGTGCTTGTCAGTTTTTGGTCTACCATTCACTTGAATTCAGTTTGGCAAGTCTATGGCCTCTATCCATGAGTTCATTCTGTGATAGCAGGTTTGCTTCCTCACACTGAGACTTCAGTAGTAGCTATGAATACGAGATGATTTCATTCCCATTGGCATTTGTGTTTTTCTTGGAATATTCCTTACCCTTTGGCCACTGTCTACCGGAGTTACAGACAGTACTTAGCATTTCCAATAGGAACTGTGGATGTAGAATGGGAGGAGGAACTTCTTGCAGAATTATGGCAGTCTGATGTGATTAAGCTTGTTTCATTTTAATTCCCTATTTTCAGGGAGTTTCAGTTCAGCCAAAATCACTTACTCAAAGCTGAAAGGTGGCACGTTCATTCTCCACTGAGAAGTATGCTTCTGTTTAATAATATTTTTATGAGATTGTATTTATGTAAACTAAAGGAAAAATGTCGTGAAGTTAGTTTTGTTGCACTTTTCTAAGGCTTTTGTATTTTGCATAGAGTTCTAGAATACAAACAAGTTGTTTGGGGAACTTTAGGTTTAAAACTTACTCTGCCCCAGCATAGCAGTGTATTACGAGCATTTTCATTCTAGTAAGTACCTGTATTATTTTAGCATGTGAGCAGTGTATTTATATGGTAGTTAAAAAGCCCAGTGGACATTTCCTGCTGCAGAGGAGCCATTGGCAGTCCTGGTTCCACATGAACTGACCTGTTTTGACAGTAGACTGCATTTGCAATAATTGAATAGTTGATTTTTATTTTTCTGAACTTTTTCAGTTCATGGAGAGAAGGAAGCTCTTCTGTTGTGTTCCATTGTTGAAGTTTCTCTGGAGGCTTTTCTGGTTTCCAATTATTGCATATGTGCAGCTGGATTGATTACTTGGGAATCTGCTCAGTAGGGAGAGCACAAGTACACGTAACATACTCAAGTAATTAATCCTTGTAACTTACATTTCAGTTAGAAACTTTAGTTTTTACATGTATAGTAGGGTCAATTTTACTATTTTTCAGTAGCACTTTTATACTTATCTGAAGGGTTTTTTTTAACAGAAGTGTCTTTTCTGTATGTTATCTAATGGAAAGAAAGTATAACACTATGAAATGTAACACAGAATAGTTAGCTTCCAGGCTGTCCGTTCACTTTAGGTCAGTGATGATCAAGAGTTGTTCAATGTCTATGAATTAAAGTAGTGATCCCATTGAATGTTGGACAACTCTCCAGGTCAAAGTCAGAAGGGCATTAATTGGTACCCTTTAGCTGTTAGATGTGGGGGTACTTTGAGTTCAGGTGAGGCAGAATTGACAGAACAGTGTGGTGAATTTTGGACTTGGTGAAAGAACAGAATGTTGTTGATGTCTCAGTCTAACTTCTCAGCACTACATCAGATAAGGACTAACCTTGTTTGAAATGACACTGCAGCCAGTACTTACATCTCATGAATAACTGATTTAAAGCTCTTTTTCCATGGTCTTTAAAGATGATGTAAAACACAATGATTCTTATAAGCTCTTCTCTTCTTCCATCCAAGCTTTTCTGATTTGTATTGGTTTTATCCTCATTTGAAACGCAAATATTAGACTGACCAAACATGTACATGGGTTCAATAATCCTCCTTTTAGACAAGAAGCACTTTCTTCTTTCTCAGAACCCTGTCAAATAGGTTCTGTACACATTCACATGCATAGACATTTTAGGTATGTGTAGAGGTTTTGCATAAATGTATGTATGTACACATATATACACACGTGCAAATACATTTGTGCATATGTGTGTACCTATGCACCTTCTTAATAAAACTGAACATCTTTTAAGAAGTGCTTGAGTCTTGAATACTTATGATGGTGTAACAGCTTATACATTTAAAAGGTAAGGAAGAAAAAGCTATGTTGTTTGTTTCTGATTAGATCTTAGAAATACGGTTCTGAGGAAAATTGAAGTGTGTTCAAATTGTATTTCACCCTGTTTCTGGTTTAAAAGGCACAAGCTGTTATTGGAACTTAAAAGGTCAGCAAAAGTATTTTAAGCTAAACCTTTTGGAGGACCAATATGCTTTTAGTTTGCAAGGACCACTAAAGATCTGGGCATTTAGTTTCTTCATAATGTATTCTGTATGAATATTTAGTATGTATGCCTTCAATTTGCCAATGTTGCCATGTTTTCTTCTTAATTATTCATGAAATAAAGATTGCAAATAGCAAAACGTGTGTCTGTTTTTTTGACTGAGGCTGCTTCAAAAGGGGATGTTTTAACACCATTTCTGATACCATGATTTTTCAGGAGTAAATGTTACAGGACGCATTTGTGGAGGTTTATGTGCCATGGATGAGAAGTACAGGCCAATGGTTTGCATGCCCATAACCTCACTGTTGTCAGGAAGTCACCTCTATTTTGATATACCAGCATTATTTGATATCTACCTTCAAAGGATTTTAAATGATAACATATGGAATGTTCTAAAGATGAGGTATGTATTTAAGGCATCTCCTTAGGCTGGATTGTCTTGGTCTTGAATATGAGTAACAGGGAAGGGAATTCTAGCTAATACTTTCAATTAAGGCAACTTCTGTCACACAGAATACGTAATACAAAATTAGAATTATTGCAATATTACTTATCCCAACTAAGGAAGTCAGTGTGCTCTCCATCTCATGAGGAATTGGGGCTGGAGAAAGGCTGGGGGCTTCATCTGTAGTTTGGTGTATTTAAAACAGATGCCTAGAAGTAAAATTTCCAGGTGAAAATGAAAACTAGAAAAATAAAATAAAGAAAAAAAAAATAGAAAATAAAGACTAGACACCTTAAATTTGGTATGTTCTCATTCGTCCTGGAGGATAACTGATTTCAAATGCAGTTTTCTCTGAAATGGTGTGGAAATCGTCAGCGTAAGTCCCAAGTGCTCTATTGGATTCAGAGGTTTGAGTCAGGTTCCCTTTTATTTCACAGTTGGTTCTTAGATGTTACTGTAGGTGTTTTAATTCCGCTCATTTCTTGCAGGTTTTTGAGATTTGGTGTTCTCTGTTCAGAAATGCCTTTGACTCAGTAGTGTTATTCTGCAAGAAAGTGTGTGACTTCTCTTTTTTTTGGGATGGAATATTCTCAGTGAATTTGAATGAGTTAAGAAAATTCTTAGTTCTCAAATGTTATCAATATCCTGTTTTTAAGCACAGATCTTCAGTATCCATACTTTTAAGAATATTTCAAAGTGTGTAGTAAAGCCTCGTGTCAGAAAGTGGATGTTTTCCTTCTCTGTAGAATGTGCACGACAGTATCATAGAAGCAACTTGTACATCTGCACTTGGCAGCATGAAGGTCAGGACAGAAACAGCAAGAAGGACGCAGGTCAGGCCTCAGGTATGTTAAAACAATCTTGTCTGCACGATCTGAGTTGCAACTGCAGTCACTGGAATAGAATTCCCTAACTGAAGTTTATTCACAGAACATCTCACAAGCTATCAGTAGACAAGCGCACAGTGCTAGTTTCATGTTTTTAATAAAATTAAATTGAACGTAATAACATCAATTAAACAATTTGGAAGGTTATACTGTAATGAACTGCAGCACTCTGGAGCAGTACAATAAAAAGCTGGGAAGGAATATCATTATAATATTTATTGTATTAAATTGGAACAGCTTAGATTGGAGGCATGGTTGTTCTGCAATTAATTTCTGTGTAGAAAACAGTTAATATTGCAGAACTTGCCACTCAAATTCTTATCAAAACCGTGTTTCACAGTGGCTTTGATCAGGGGAAGAGACGTGGGTTATATCACGTGTTCTGCATAGAACTTCTTTGGACTCAGCCCTATCCTGTAGGTGGTTCCACAGAGCACATGGACAAGAGGGGTCATGAAGATAGAAGTTCTTCCCCCATGCAGTTCTTTTTGAAACCACAAAAAAAAAAAAAACACAAAAAGACAATAACAAAAAAAAACTTCCCTCTACAAATGGGAAATTACTAACAGCCAGCAGCTACTGCTTAGACTACAAACAACAGCAAAAAACCTGCTTTCTCTGCACTTTGTGGTGCCTTCTCCACTATTCTCCCTGTCCTAGCCCCCATCACTTAGTATTCTGCCTATTTTTTTTTAATGTTTTTATCACCATCATTTGTGTTTGGCATATTAAACTGGTATGTTTTCTTTTTCATTCTCAGCTCTAATGGTTGAGTGAGGTACAGAATTCCTAGAAATTGCTCAGAAGCTAATAACTGTGAGGTGCAAAGCCCCAGTACCTTCCATATGAATTAGTGCTTGATGCTGCAACCCAACACGTGAACAGAGAGGTTAGCTAATTAGCCTCCCTACTCCTGGCAGCTCAGGGCTAGAAGAGAATTTATGTCTAATTAGATCATTTTTATTAGCCTCATTTTTCTTAGAAATGTTGTTTTGAAGTTTCTTCTGTGGAAGTCTTTGTTTAGGAAAAAATATCATCTATGATTTAAAAAAGAAACACAAAGTATATAAGCAACACACCATCAATCCTAGTCCAAGTGAAGGTTTTTGCTAGTCTTACCTGCTATTGCCCTTTCTACCACCATGGTTTAACTGAACTGTGATTATGGAACTGCGTTTTTGTGTACAAAACGCCCTGTTTGAAAAACAAAATGTCAACTTCTCATATGTTCTTTGCTCTTTGGTATATTAAATTCTTTGGAGAGCCCTCATTATGAAAATGGGGTTGAACATAGAGGAGTATTTTTACAGCTAGACTTTTGCATTGATTATATAGAGTGAGGAGATGTTTGTGCCTCTTTCCAGAGCAGTGTGTAGCTTGATTCCCTTGTTTATGCTTCCTTTCCTTAAACCATTTTAGGCTCCTCACGCCAGAGGCCTCAAAGTTAAGCTCTTAAAAATGAAAGAAACTTGAGAAGGAGACATAACAATCTGGAGACAAATTCACTGAGCTGTTGACAATATCATATTTTTCAAAAAATAAATAACCCACTGTGTGTTAACACTGTGTGTCTCTGGGAGAGCAAATTCAGATTCCAGTGACTGCAATGGAGTAAGCATGAGGTAAATCCCACAGTGCACATAATCAGTTCTGTCTTTTTAAAAACATCACAACATGGGAGGGTTTGAGCATGCGGGGTGCTGAGCGTCTGCAGTTTTGCAGTTCAGGAGCTGTTGTGACTTCAGTCCTTCTGACAAATCTTTTCTGAAGATGATGGTTCAACAGTGACAGAGGTGGGCTCCTGTTCCAGCAGAGAAGTAACATAAAGGGAGGACGTGCTGCGATTTTACTCCTGGCCAGAGGAGCATTGTATAAGCACTGAAACGAGAGCTAAAACACTCATTTAGTGTTACGAACCTACAGAGTTCTCTCCACGCCTCTAGCAGGTCACTGTTGCTCTAAGCAGGGAGTGGTATGGAGCAGGGTCAGCAGTTAGATTTTGTAACAGAAGCTTGGATACACACAATGTGTATTTTGTCAAGTTAAATAAGGGTTGCTCTTTCATTGCTCCTTAGAATAAAATGAAAATAGTGTCAGTGGAGAAGAATCATTTGACTTCTTCCCGCTGAGCCTTGCAAACCCAACAGTTTCTTTATTGTATAAGGGTATCTTCTATATGTTATTATAATAGAGAATAAATAGCTGTCGCTCTGCAGCTCCCACGTGATGATTCATGCTACCAGTTTTTCCTCTATTAATAGTCTACAGAGAATGCTTAAATTTAGATTGAACTCCCATCTTGTCTTCTGTCACGCTGAATAGCATCTGAAGAAATGAAGCCAGTCTGTCTGGGAAGGCTCGTCCAATTCCTGATATGAAACCACTTAAAAGCACTCGCTGGTTCTTGATGTAAGTGCAAATGACAGAATTTAAGCAGGGTTGTGCTTATTCCTTGTGATTACAAGACTTACCTTCACTGTGGCTTGTTTTCCTCAAGCTCTGTGTAAAAGCTGAACGCTTTCTCTGCTGGAATTAGACCATTTGTGAGAGGGCTTTGACACAGAGAATTCCACAGTTACAGCACATGGAACTTTGTTATAGAACTCCTTCCTCACAGAATTATTTTTTTCATGATTATTTTTAAATTGCTAAATATTTCATACGGGACAAGAAAAACAATTGCATATACATAAATACATATATAAATATGTATGTAACTTTAATGTTTAAGGATTTGCTAGTTCCTCCAAAGGACCTCAAATAACCCTGTCTCCCCACTCCCACTCCCAGACTAACACAAGGGCTTTCCACTGTCCTTGAGGAGATGTGGGCAGCAATTGCGGGTATGGGATTATGTGCAAGTCAGAACACATGATTTTTAATGTCTCCTATACCAATATTGCATATGTTTACTATTGCACTACTCAGCTTGAAGCATCTTTGCAAAATATGCCTCTCTTAAATGCAGTATGGCATGAATCATTTTGTCTGATGAGAAGGTTCACAACGAAGTACAGCTCCAAAACTGGTCAAGAGTAATCTCAGTGTGACTATGAAAGAGTGGAAATAAGTTTTTGTTTCTGATTAGTGGACACAACCCACAGCTTTGATGAAGTAAAGGATTGGGTATCAGCTTTTTAGCTCCAGCACAGCCCTGATACACGACTTTGCTGTTGTCACTTATGCATTAACCATGGTCTGATCAGTGCTTCACGCTGGTCTGCAATGATTCAGGTACCGAGACCATTAGAAATTGTACTCTGTATAGCAAAAGCAAATATCTAACTCACAGCCTGTGATTCAGTGAATAGAACTTGTAGTTTGGGACAGTCTAGTAACTGAAAAATACGTGATGCAGAAAGTGCATCCTCAAATAAAAAGAAAAAAAGGTATTCATTAGGCATAAGCACATTTTCTACTTAAATAAAATACACACATTTGTTCTTCCGGACTCTGCCCAAGACAAACTGATGCTTGAAACTGCAAGACAGTTTCCCGTACGTAATCGCAGTACGCGGGTATGATTTCTGCACAAGGTTGATGAGCTGGTTTTGGCCATAGTCATTATATTGATCTGTTCTGTGTTTGCAGTGGCCTCACTGATGTGCCCAAGCAGACTGTCGCTAGAGCGGGATCAGCAGAAGGCATGGTGAGCATCACAATAGGTCTTTTAAGTGTTAAGTTCTTGTTTACTTTACTTTCATCTTCTTGAGGGGAGCTTTTCAGGGTTTATTTACACTGTCTTCCTAGGATTTACTGCTTTACCCAAGTCTAAGGAGTGCAAATATCACTGCTTTTGAACTGCCC